GTTTGTCTGCCCCCCCCTCCTTTGTATCTATGTATGTGTATATGTACATGTATATGTGTCTGTGTCTATGTGTGTATGCATGTGTGTGTGTGTGCGTGCGTGTGTGCGTGTGTGTATGTGTGTGTGTGTATCTGTATGTCTGTATGTCTGTCTGCATATCTGTCTGTATGTCTGTCTGTCTGCATGCATGCATGGCTGTCTGTCTGTCTGTCCGTCTGTCCGTCTATCTGTATATGTCTGTATATGTCTGTATATGTCTGCATATGTCTGCATATGTATGTATATGTATGTATATGTATGTATATGTATGTATATGTCTGTATATGTATGTATATGTATGTATATGTATGTATACGTATGTATATGTATGTATATGTCTGTATATGTAGGTATATGTATGTATATGTACGTATATGTACGTATATGTACGTATATGTACGTATGTGTACGTATATGTACGTATATGTACGTATATGTACGTATATGTATCTATTGTTGTATTTGTATGTATATGTGTGTATATGAATGTATACGTATGTATATGTATGTATATGTATCTATTGTTGTATTTGTATGTATATGTGTGTGTATGTATGTATATGTATGTATATGCATGTATATGTATGTATATGCATGTATATGTATGTATATGTATGTATATGTATGCATATGTACGTATGTATATGTACGCATGTATATGTACGTATATGTATCTATTGTTGTATTTGTATGTATATGTGTGTATTATGTATGTATATGTATGTATATGTTTGTATATGTATGTATATGTATAATCATGTAGCCACCTAGCCAGCCAGAGCCGCCAGCCACAGCCAGTCATCCGTCATCCTCCTCATCAGCCTCATCAGCCAACACAGCCAGCCACCTAGCCAGCCAACCAGCCAACAGCAACTGCCAGCCACCCAGCCACCTAGCCAGCCACGCAGCCAGCCAGCGGCCACCTAGCCACCTAGTCAGCCAGCCAGCCAGAGCCAGCCAGCCACAGCCAGAGTCATCCTCCTCATCATCCTCATCAGCCCCCACAGCCGCCTCTACACCAACAACCCCTGCTTTCGGCCTCTCCGCCAACAGCCAGAGGGCCGGCGGAATGCCGAAGGCTGTTAAAAATTAGCCCAAGCTCCATGCTGAGGCCCCACCTCCATCTCGGCGCGTTTGATGTCTGCTTCTCTTTGTTTGGAGTTGGAGTCCTGCAGAGTCAGAGTGTTTTTTTCCGAAAATCATGTACCCCGAGTCCCATGGTTGATCATCATGATCCTCCACATTCAACCATGAATTGGGTTATTCCACATGTTTGGACAAACCCAACTCTTTAGACAGTGAAGTGGACGTGTCAACCTTTGGACTTTGGGTGTCACCCGCACCTCCTGGAAGCGCGGAGGGGCTGCAGCATAGTTTGGTGAAGGAGTCAACATGTAGATGCTGAGCCCAAAAACCTCAGTGAAGGGTACTGGAGGATCTCTGCTCATTGAAAACATTATATACTTTTCTCAGGATAGGCCGAAAAAGCCTCTGGGAAATTTTCTCATGCAGCCCAGGTGCTCCAAATGCTGCGAAACTCATGTTGCGTAGCCTGATGTGATGCCATCACCGACCACATGTCGTGCAAGTAGTGATGTAAAGTTATTCAGGGACATAAAGATCACCAAAAAAACAAGAGACATCAATAGCATCCGCCACCATTTTTTCCTTTCTCTCTGCCAGGCCTGTGAGCCATGTTTGGCCCGTCCTTGCTGTGTCGCCATGGATTTGGGTCCTGGCCGGGGCCAAAAACAAACACTGCAGCCCTCTGGTGCCATCGCTGAGGCTAGCACCCAATGGCGGCGATGTCCATGGGTCGAGTGATGGTGCGGGCGTTGGGAGAAATCCTGCGCCTAGGATCTCCAGGATGGATATGATGTGTGTATCATACAAAATATCATGTATGATATGTATGTGTATACAGTGTGTGTGTATATGTGTAATATATACATATGTATATATGTATATATATGCGTGTATGTATATATATATGTATATATATATATATGTATATGTATATGTATATGTATATGTGTGTGTATGTATGTATGTATGTATGTATGTATGTATGTATGTATGTATGTATGTATGTATGTATGTATGTATGTATGTATGTATGTATGTATGTATGTATGTATGTATGTATGTATATATATATGTATGTAAATATATATATATATATATGTATATGTATATATACATATGTATATGTATATATATATATGGGTGGCTCAAAGGTTGGGAGACATTCTCAAGACCGTGAAATTCGACCAAATAGGATACCTCTGAGATGCTTCTCGAACCAGCTACTGCTAGCTCTGGCTGTGAGTCAGACTCCATAGGCATGTCTGGAATGCCCACCTCATTCGGAGTTCCACCAAAGGAAGACTTGAGATTGCAGCAAATCCAACGCGATGAACAGCTGAAGATGGTACCGCGAGTACCAACCATTACCAACCATTTTTATTTCACAAACCATTTCAAGTAAAATTAGGTGAGCTTCATTAGTGTGAATGCCGTATTGTTTTCATTGTGCTGCAACTGTATCTGATTCGTTCGCAGCTTGCTTTGCAACAGAGTGCTGCCCTTGAAGAACTTAGGGCCCAACGGTGAGAATGTTGTGCTTGTGCGCCCTGCAAAACATTGCTGGAATACAAGTCCAAGGTGAATGGGCAATTACTTCCTTTGAGATTGTCAGAATTTTCCGTTCAGCTGCATCCCCACAAAAAAAAAAATCAAGATCCAAATCAAACGGCTTCTGGAAGTTGAGTGCCTCCATGTGTGCAGAAGGGATCACAGATACTTCCAGTGTTTGAGCTTGAATCCAGATTAGTTTATTAGATTCATTAGGTTGTTTCTTCAAAGCTGGCCTTCTTGAGCGCCTCCATCCCATGTTCGTAGTCCTCTTTCAGCTGCCGGAATCTCTCCTAGCGCCACAACCAGATTCAACCAGACTTCTAGGTTTCTATGCTTAATGACTATCATTGGCACCTCGGCGGACTTTCCAGCAACATCTGGATGCAGCACCTCACCAAAATGTCTGGTGCAACTCTGAAGAGCTCAAGCTTCGTGGCACCAATGGGCAAAAACAACCAGCAGCCACCTTGACCTTGCGGAGGTAGGCTGCCCGAATCTGAGCCTTGTTGGCGCTGGCTGGCAAGTCCAGCTGCCTGCGCTGATGGTGAAAAGTGGCACATTTTTTTGTGCAGCTAAAAAACTCGCAGGACTCTTGGGATTTCATAGCGCTTTAGTAGTAGGAATTTAATGGGAATATAATAGATCATATGGATTATGATGGCATATTGGAGGTTACTCTCCTCACGGCCCTCCGGGCACACGGGCACACGGGCACACGGGCACACGGGCACACGGGCACACGAGGAATCCACGGGCACACGGACACACGGGCGCACGGGCACACTGGCAATCCACAGACACACGGGCGCAGG